CCTGGTCCATATGTTTTGAGTTCGCAAAGGCAAAAAAAACACCCGCAGGCAAATATAACACGGTACGAGTTTTGAAACGGCAATAGCGGTTGAAAATCGACCTCTTGGCCCTTTTTCTTCTTTTTTTCCCCCTTTTTCCATCTGACACCGCGCCACACCCCTGTAGTTATGACACCTGTGCCGCTGTCACTACCGCGGTACTTTCATTGCTTCTTCGCGGTACTTTCATTGCTTCTTCGTTGCTTCTTCGAACTCTGCTGTTTTCTTTGTTGGCTCCTGTTTTTTCTTGCACATTTGAAACTATGTTGTGGGTGTGACATCAATGCACTTGCCCCCTTTTTTTTTTTTTTTTTCTTATGCATTTTATTACAAGCCCAGTGCCCAAGGCAGTAGTACATTGGAATGATTGGATGAAAATAGTCAAGAATGTTCAGACTCTGAGGTCAGCTGGACTTGAACCCTCACCCTCAGGCTGAGAGCTTGATCTCTGGAGAAAAGCAGACATCAGACAATGAGCCCTATCATAATGATTGAACTCTATCCAGGAATCTTCCAACTTCCAGCTTCCAATTTAATTATGAAAGGTGGACCCCACTGCCTTGGAGTAGCTTTGCGCCCACCGCCGGAGAGCTTTCGCCAAACCCAAATAGAACGCCCCGGCCATGGGAAACTTGAAGGGAAATCCGGACCCCAGTGCAGCACAAATTTATGGCAGGTCCGTTGGTGATGGTTACCCGACTGGGAAAATTTTCCCTATACAGAAACTCCACATCCGCTTGTCTCCGTTCTTACCAAAGCCCTGCCTTTCCTTTCACGTGAAAACGGCTGCCATGTCATGTCCGAGCGTTTTCGGCGCTCAAAGCGGATTAATGTGTGTGGTGGGGTCTCACAAATCTTCTTCCAAAGCATTGCCACAAAGCAGTGGGGTCCACCTCTAATTGTAAGACTCCAGGGTTGGGAGTTATCAGGACTGCGGTCTGGTTTTGGCCATTTCTGTCTCTGGATATTATCCCGACACATGCACCAAAGCTGCGTACTGGTCCCAGCTTCAATTTCCCCACTTTCTTTTCCGGGTTGTTTGTTGACGATTCTCGGCGTCTTCAGAAATGTCCTTTTTTTTTCTTCTTTTCAAAACCAACCATTCCATTATATGCCAGAAATCGGGTCCGGCGTCCCTTTCATTTATGCCATGGTCATTTGGCCTGGGCAACGCTCTGCGGCCCCCAACTTCACTCCCTGCGCGACTTCCTGATCTCTCAGAGAGAGAGAGAGAGAGAGAGAGAGAGAGAGAGAGAGAGAGAGAGAGAGATTCGTCAAATACATTTCCAAGAAAGTTGGACTGTGTCCCAAGTCGCCCCAAGTCCCAGCATTTGTCCCAAAAGCTGCCAGTTTCAGTATGCTGTAAGGATAGTCAGAGTGTGAGCTTGCCCTAAGTTCCCCAAAGTCCCAGTGTGAGTATGTCCCAGAGGGTCTCACTGTCAGTATATCGTAAGGATAGTCAGAGTGAGTGTGCCCTAAGTTGCCCGAAGTCCCAGTGTGAGTATGTCCCAAGAGGTCCCAGAAGTCAGTATGCCCGTAACTGCGGACACATGCATTGAAAAGAAATCCTGGTGTGAGTATGGACTAAATTTGTCGGAGCTGTTCAGCAAGGCCCTCTGAACGTTAGGAGGTAAGGGGGAATTCCAGATCTGCAGGGGCATACTCTAGGGGGAATTGTGCGCTGCTGAGGGAGAGGGGATGGCCGTTTACGGGGCTGTTCTGAACTGGGGCCGGTGTGGTGAGGGGGCACCCTCCGGCGGAGGCGGTGTATGGACAGAGGGACGTTTTTGAGAGAGGAGTAATCTCTGGGATTTTTTTGTGAGTTCTTCATGATTGTTTGAGTTTCGAGTAGACACCGGAACCGCTACAGGATGAGGGGGTATTTTTCCCTCCCTTCCTCTCATTTTGTGGAGGTAGAAGGGGTTTTCTTTGCCTTTGTCTGAGTTTATTTTTCTGAAGGAGGGCCAGGGGGGGGTTAGAACCGGAGGATGGATTTTAGTCAGGAGGTTCTCAATGGAGGAATTGCTGTTGGGAAAGTAGGTCAGAAGAACGAAGCTGGGACGACTCAGGCCGGTCCTGGAGCTTTGGCTCTGTGACCTAGGGGGAGCTTGAGGCTTGTGGAGTTATGCTGAGGGTGGAAGGCATAACCAGATCATTCGATGAAGCGGACATCGGGGTTTGAACCCTGTAACCTGTTCAGGGGCTTGCCGTTAAAGGTAGTGTCGAGGGAGGAAGGCACTTCCTGTCCGTCAGAATTAGGTTGGTCAGAACCGGGGAAGGTTGCGGTGCCCCCCTGTTA